AATCCTCGTGAGAGTTCGGTTGGTTTCGCCTCTTGTCGATGCCGGGTCCGCCAGGTATTTGAGCAGGTTCCAGGTCTGTTTTGTTTCCAAAGTGTTCTGCAGTTTGTCGCATTTTTGCCACCAGTTTTGTCGCGCCAAGTCATCGGCGTACTTTTCTATTTCCTCGTTGAGTTCCGCCACTCGATGTCTCAAATTCCGGTTCAGTTTGTTGATTTTCCACTTTACAGTCAAATTGCGCCTTTTCTTCCACAGCGTTTCGAGTCGCGAGTCAACTGCAGTGACTTTTTCGGTCAGCTCTACCTCGTTGGTGTAGTCTTCTTTGGCTCTTTTTAGTTCCCTTGTCCACCGCGCAAGGTCGTCTATGGGTCTTGTTTCCACTTCCTGTCTGAACTTTCTCCAGTCTGTTCTCTGATTCTTTCCTATGCGTCGACGCTTGGCGTCTGCCACTACTTCGATCCTAATGATGCAGTGGTCGCTTCCGAGGGTTTCTTGCGTGTTTATCCATCCCGCCGTGGCTCCCCTGATCATCGAGAGGTCCGGGTTTGTGTCTCGACTCACGCTGTTTCCCACTCTAGTGTGGCAGTCTGTGTCGTTGATGATCGTTAGTTCGTGCATCTCGATTAGCTTGAGTAACTCTTTGCCCCTCTTCGTGTCCTTTACGTAGCCCCATTCCGTATGCGCCGAGTTGAAATCTCCCGCGACGACTATCGCGTTGTCCTTGCCGGCCATCTTGCATGCCGTTTCCATGATTTCCGCGAGGTCCTCGGTCTTGTAGCCCTTGTGTTGCGCGTACACGTTTAGCACGAATGTGCTCTTGCCTCCCTTGTTGCTAGGCACCACTTCCGTCAGAACGTTCTCTACTTCTTGCTTTGTTTCGTGATGTATGACCGTGATGTTCTTATTGACGAGCGTGGCGACCCTGGGCTTGTTCTTATCGTTGCCGTAAACGTAGTACCCACTCAGATTCGCTTCTGAATTCGGTTCTTGCAGCAAGATTAGGTGCGGTTTTTCCACTTCGTCCTGTAGATAAAATGTAAAATTGCTTCGTTTTCCTCGGTAGGCTCTGCAATTCCACTGCCATATCAGAAGCCTACCTTCCATACGGTTGCTTTGCCTCTGCTTTGGCTCCTTCGTTGCTCACGCAGCTGACATCGCTTTCGTAGCCGTCCTTTGCACATTTCCTCCTAGGCGGGCCCGCCGCCCCGTCCAGTAAACTTGCGAGCATCTGTTCAATTTTAGCGAATCTTTGCTCGAATTTGTTTTCCAGTTGCTCGAATTTGCTTTCTAGTAGCTCAAACTTGTTCTCGAATTTGTTGTCTAGTTGCTCCTTTCTTTCTTCGAGCGGACCCTTTCTTTCCTTGGGCGTCTTTTTCGGTGCCTCTGCCGGCTTCGGCTGAGTTTTCGGCTCGTCCGTTTTGTTTTCACACCGTCTTCGGAGAGTCTCCAGTTCTTTCTTGTGCTTCTCTTCTTGTCTCCAAGAGTTTCCTTCCAGTCTTTTAATGGTTTCCGCCATCTTGGCGTTTTGCTCCTCCATTTTATGGAATTGTTCCCTTTGTATCTCCATTGTTCTCTGAAATTGTTCCCTTTGTATCTCTGCCACCTTCTTTAGCTCTCTAATTGTCTCCTCCATCTCGGAAATTTTCTGCTTGTCCGATTTCTCTCCCTCTATTGTGGGGTAGTTGGCTTGCCCAGTAACCCACCTCAGCGTAGGGAAGTCTTCTATGTTGCTCTGCGCCTCCGCCCACGCCTTCTTTTTGCTGACGTCGGTCAGTGTATCAGTAGTTTTGGGCTGCACCTTTTTCGTCGGTTCTTTGTATCGCTTTTTGCACTCCTTGTCCCCGGTGGGGTGTTCCCCTTCGCAGAATGCGCATCTTGCCCTGCAATTCTCTTCGCCTTCCGCGTGCGTTCGGCCGCAATTTCGGCACCCCTTTGCGTCTGGCGTGGGGCATACGTCACTCCTGTGTCCCGGCTTCATGCAGACGAAACATACTTGCTTCACCGGCCTGTATTCCCACACGTGTGCCATTTGCCCGTATAAGCACACTTGGTTTGGCAAACGGTCCCCGCTAAAAGTGAGGACCACAACTTCCGTATCCCTGATTCTTCTGGCTTCTATTATTTCAATGTCGGCGTACTTGCCCCTTACACTGAAGTTTTCTCCCAGTTCTTCGTCTGTAAACTCTTTAGAGACTCTGTATACCACTCCTTTTACCGTGTCCTCCATGATGACTTTAGCTTTGAAGCTGTGCTTCTTCCCTTCGATCTCAAGTTCTTCGATTTCTGTCACCGCTTTCGCGATGTCTTCCCTTTTCGTGCTGACTATTATGGCGTTGGTACCTTTCAATATTCTTGTTGTGATTTCCTCATCTCGGAGGGCATGGTTTCTTCGGATGGCCTTAATTAGTGCCTTGCCTACGGATCCTTCTCTGGTGTCTCCGAGTTTCAGACCCTTTTCGGGTCTAACAGTAATTTTTATCTCGTCTCCCGGCATCGGTCCGAATCTCCTCCTTTTTGGCTTCTGCTCCTCGGTTGACCCCATGTTGTTTTTGACATCGCTGGTGGACGAGCTGACTTTCTTATCCTTTTTTCTAATAATGTAATTCCAACCCCTCTCGGGTATTCCGCCTATTCTTTTCTCGCCATCGGCGGCCGTCTCGTCCATCTCCATGCCATCCCCGTGTGGGGGTAGGCTTGTCTCTAAAATGTCGATATTGCCGGTAATATGCGACCCACTCACGTTTCCGTATTATCCTTCTTTTCCTCTCGTCCTCCTTCCTTCCGTGGTATCAGTCTTTTCCGGAAAACAGGAAAATTTTCGCGTCGTTCGGTGCGAGATGCGGAGCCTTCGTGGAAAACGTTAGTCCCCGCCGCAAACTTCTTCTTTTTCTCGAGGTGCCGAGGTTTGTTTGCTGAGAACCGAGAGTGAGAGTGGTTACTGGTTAGTGCCCGCAAGTTCCCTCCCAAATACTTTTTCCCTCCTTTCGTGTGCGGCGAGACCCCTCATTCTTTAACGGCGTCGGCGGGTCGGCGCAGTTAACGTCGTCTACTTTACGTCTGCTAGTCAAAGCGATGGCTGCTTTACCTTTCCTGCGTCTATCGGAGATTCACCGTTTTTTCACCGGCGAGAGTCACCGTTGCCTCGGGAAACAAGGAGATAACAAGAGGAAGAAATTGACCTTTTAATCTAAAATTGAGGTCAGCGATCAAAGTATAATACGGGAAGGGTTCACAGGGGTCGCGCGGGCATATTCCATTCAGCACGCCAGCCGGTCGTGGGCAGACGGTCGCCGAGTCGCGGAGTGCATGCTAGGCCTAACTGCCGTACTCCCTTGGTCGTGTTCGGTGGAATCGTGGCCGTTGGAGCTTTTCCCGGGTGTTTGTGGATCCAGCGTTCTTGTTCGTCGTGGTCTGTTTCAAGTACTTTTTTACTTTTCTCTTGCTGCTTGAAGTCGGGACGCGTGAGAAGCGCACGTAGAAAAATAAACGCCCGTGGGTCGTCGCGACCGCGACGCTGTCGGCCATGCTGAAAGAAGTACGTAAGACAGCTTCGCAGCTGTCGTAGGATTTCGACGTAACCTGCGCGAAACTTACGAAAATTTCGTTTTGTGAATACAAATTTGTTCTTAACTTACGCACATTTTTGGCGTAAGATCGTTTCGTAAATCTGGCCTATGCACTTCCGAAAGTCGCAGGAAAGGTAAGACAGAAGCAGACGACGTTGCGAGCAGACGACGTTGCAAAGGAGCAGACGACGCTCAGATAGGATCAGCCAATCAGGGCTCGGCGTTCTGACGTCACCGCTACCCCCTGCGCAAGAAGCAGACGAACTTGCCCTCCGCATTGGCTTTCAAATAATTACGGCATGATCAAGCGTTTGCTCTTGAATAAGAGAATCATCCCCTGAGCCATTCAAAATACTCTTAGAGGTATGACATTGCTGGAAAAAAAATTAACATGCTGGGAATATTTTTTATTGCTTATTCAGTCTCCGAAAAATTCCGTCCGTTCAAAACGACCAATATAAAACATGGAAACGCAGAGCGTAGGTGCAGTGTTCGGGTTAGTGTGGTGTTCCGTTGTATTGATATATGCGTGTGCCGTGTATGTGCTCAATGTATGTTCATCTGATGCTTCTCATAAGCATGTCATAAGCGTAATCTGTGTATAGTAGAGGATCCCCAAGAGGGGCCTGAGGAAATCAAATTATTTTTTGTAGAACATGAATTGAGCGGTACCTAGCGCCACCTAGCCTAGCTACTCGCAATTACTCTGCTGGACCCCGTCATCTGGTGGCTAGCGATTTAACCTTCTTTCACGCTACGCGATAAACAGCGGCTTCGAGTTTGTTCTTTCGAGAGCGGCTTTTGGTTTCGCGGATTGAGCAGGGAGCAAACTTCCTCCGTGATGTGCGGTTGACGAAGGAATTGTGACTAGAGGAACATCAAAGGTAAGACGCTAAGTGCGCGAAGTAACTGGGTATCGGTTGTCTCCGTTTAACATCGCAGTGCTTTCGACGAGGAGACTGAGTAACTGCTTTCGAAACGCAAGTTTCTGTACCTGTGGGGGGAATCTGGCTTCGGAAATAAACACAGTTCGCGGAAAGCTCGTGTTACGCTTTCATTTGCTGCTGCTCTCGCCCCGTACGAGAGACATAGCGTCCTCGTCAAGCCTTATTGGGCTCGATTTGCTCGATTCGGGGCCGCCATATTGAAATGAAAGCGACGGAGGAACTTTGCTCTCCTGCTTCAGGGACGAACGTTTCTCCCTTTCTAAAGGAACATAGGTTATAAGACCGTTCCTCCCCTAAGGGAGGACTATCCATACCCTTTTTTCTACGAGTGTGTCATGCGTACTGATACTGCTGCTTCAGTCAAGCGAAACCAGCCATATTCACAGTTACATCAGTGCTACGTTCCCTTTCCACATGAGCCCTACAGGCATAGATGAAAGTAACCGTGAACTCCGGATTATAAAAGAAGATGTATAATCTGAGCGCTCACCTTCATTATCTTTATCATCTGGCTTTTGGCCTGATAAGAAAAATAAGCAAAGAACGTGATTGGCAATTAAAAAAATGACTGGGAATTAAAAGAAAAACGAATACTTTCGTTGCGTTTTTCTATGTATTTTTAATATAAATATCAAGAGAATGAATACTTGGCAAATGACAAAACAAGTAATATGTATGTCGCGTCTAAGTATTCAGAGACGCTGGCAAGCTTTTCCTATGCCTGTTTCTGTAGTTGATATTACAAGGAATATAATAATATTAAAAGCCAAGTAAACCTTATAATTGGACTTACAAAACAGTTAGGTAAGTTCACAGTTTAGAATCAAGCCAAAATTTACAATTGGTGTTCTGGCAACGGCACCGAATTGTCGGCGTCGCGCATTAAAGACGACAAAAATTCGTTGCTACATTTTTTTTTCGGCGTAATACACAGGATAATTATATTTCTCGGTTTTTTTAATGCGAAAGCAATAAAGGGCCCCTGAAATTAAAAATAAATCTCTTTTTAGACAGTCGGCCTGGTTAGGACATGAGTGTCGAAAAATAAATTTACGCGAAAAACAAAATTTTTAGAGTGACATTGACGGCGTGAGATTTATTTTAAGTTCTACTAGCATAGCCGATGACGTCACGGAATGGTCATGCATTCTTTCCACCTATACTTGAAAGAGAAGCCGATCCACCTCTCCTCCACGCGCCCGAAAGCCGAGAGAAAACAAAGGGGAAGGAGGTGACTACCGACGAAATCGCATCTCGCGTCGTCAATATTGCTCCAAGAAAATGTTTTCTTTTCGCGTAAAATTAATTTTTTTTTGACATGGGCGTTCCAACCAGACTTAAAATTTTTTTCTGATTTTTTTTTTAAAGGGTTTTTTAACTATTCCAAGGAGCAAAACCAGCGACGGCTATAACCTGAAAAAAAGAAAAGAAGAAAGAAATAGAACGGGAGAGAAATACTTATTTTCCGCACTCGGCCGCCACTGTAGACCGTTCCAATATGGTCATAGCAGAGAGGGTAAAAAGAGAAAAAAATGCCCTCCCCGTCTCACCCTATGTCGTCTGCTCCGCCGAGTGGCCAGTACCTAGCATCCGGCTGGCGTACAAACTCTGTTTAAAATCGCGTCATTTTGAAAATTTCAAGCGCAGATGCGCAGATTTTGGTATGCCAGTTATCGTGTATTACTATGCTAGATAAAAAGACTGAGTCCAATTGAGCTGTTATCTGCGTGCAAATAAAAGAAAATAGGGAAAACTGTGTCAGACTGGCCGGTCTCTCCGGCGAAAAGTGAATCCGGTGGCTGTACCTTTTTTACTATACAGAGTTTGTACTGGTGTAGGCCTTCAGGGACCATGAGTGGATGTCTGAAATAATAAATAAAAAAACGTGCTCTCCTGCCGTAATGCACGCAGTAGTTGAGGTAGTACTGCCGGCTGACTCAACTGCTTTTTAAGTAACGGAAAAAAAAGATATATCAGTTGATCATTCACCGAAGTAGAACAACAGAGAGCTCTAGGCTGATTTTGGAGTAGCCATAACTATTCTAAGAAAGCGAACCACTTCACAACGGCAGCCACGAGCGAGAGTTCGATGTTCCGCACAGCCCGCCGATACAGCCCAAAGATGGAGAATGGCAACCTCCCGTTTTGTCGTCTGCTAGCGGAGTCGGGCGCCTGCCCTCTCTCTCGTTTTACCTCGCCGAACCTGCGGAAGTTCCCGGATGTATGGAGAGGGTGCTGCTGTCGAACAAAATGGTGCCGCCCAGACAGCGCTAAATATTCTGTCAGGCGTTGCCCGAGGGGGGGGGGGGGGGGGGGGGGGGGGGGGTGCGGCTGCTTCACGAGAGCGCGCTCGGCCGCCGCTATTGTGTCAGGCGTTGCCCGAGGTGGGGGGGGGGGGAGGAGGAGGCGGCCGCTTTACGAGAGCGCACGCTCGGCAACCTCGGCAGTAACGAAACGTGGCCGTCCACGCCATTACACAGCAGACGAAATAAGGGAGCGGAAGAACGACATTCACGCTTTCGGATTCAGAACTCATAAGAAGTTCCTTAGGTGTCCCTGGAATTTTAGTTTTTATTTGCATACTAATAGACTTATTCTGATGTGTCAGTTTCATTCGACATAGTTTTTTGACAAAATGTTTTGTTCGTCGGTGGTTTAGAAAGCAGAAAGCTGTTAGCGGAATCACGGAAGCACGGGCTCCTTTTTGCATTTTCACACATTCCACTGCAAGTGCCTAGATATTCAGGCAGATGAATACATCTTTATGTAGTCTGGAAAGAAAGAGCTACAAAGGCAAGGATTTTTCAAGGCATCTAATCCTTCTGTGGCGAGGCTCATTGGCGTTGAATCTGGTGGCGAGGCTGCACCCACAACTTCGAACACGGCATCCAACATCGTCGGAGGGGATAACGGGGAATCGGCACGCCTGGCGGTTTCTTCGAAAAGTCTTCTCCTGGTCAGGGGGCTCTCGTCACGATTTTATTTTTTAACGGCCGAAGTGAAGCTTCTGCCTGTAGACAATAGTGCAGTTAGAGTGAAAGTTCTCCAACTTCTTGAAGCAGTTGTGAATGAGACCATTGCGGCTGTTCCCAAAGATGTAGTCCACTCGAGTCGTCCGGTTTGTCAGGCACGGAGGACCAAGGGTTTCTTGGTACGTGTACGTTGTGTACGTGCTCTAGGTAGAGCAGTCATAACCGAATGCGGGCACGCGGAAGGAGGCCTGGCTCGCGCAGCAGCCGGCGCTCGCATGCACTGTTGCACTGTCTCGCGGCCGGCATGCCACCACAGAACAGTACACGACACACCTCCCCCCTAAATGTAGTCTCGAAGATACCCCGGACGACGATGTTCGCGTTAAGGACGTCCTGATGGAGCAGCGCCAGGATTAGGAAGATAGGAGGTCGATGTGGATTGACCTGCCTGGTGTTGCTCGGTTCCTTGGTCAGCGGTCGGCGCAGCTGCTAGACGGACGTCCGGGTCTACATTCGGGCTTGACGTTGCGGAGCTTGTATCAGGAATCTGGACTTCGCAACTCTGGCTTGGACTGTCACTTGGCATGCTGCAATGCCGCGTACGGATATGATCTATGTGTCGCCGCCACACACGACCGTCTTCAAGTTGCACTTGATACGAAGGTGGGCCCAAACGGCAAGTGATCACACCTGGCAACCAGCGGTTCCCGCTCGTGCCAAAATTAATTGCAAAAACTGGACTTCCGGGTTCCAATTGGCGAGCGGCTTGCCGATTGCTGGCCTCAAAGGCTTCTTCCTGGCGCCGGGTTACTGCCGCCTGCTGATCTGGATGTAGGTGATCTAGGGCCGACCGAATCTGCCGTCCAAAAAGAAGCTCTGCGGGGCTCCTTCCAATGGAAGTACTGGGAAGAATATGTTGGTCGAAAAGAAACCTGGCAAGACGGGTTGACCAGTCGCCGCGATTGATTTTCTTCAGTGATTTCTTGGTCTCTTGAACCATCCTTTCGGCCTGCCCGTTCGAGGAGGGATGGTAGGGTGCCGCAAGGACTTGGCGGATGCCATTTCTACGAAGAAACTCTTTAAAATCCCCTGAAGTGAAAGCAGTACCGTTGTCCGACACCAAAACATAAGGCAAGCCATGCGTAGCAAACAGCGAACGTAGAGCTGCGATCACTGTCGAAGCTGACATGGACTTGACTCGTTGAACTTCCAACCACTTAGAGTGCGAATCTACTACGATGAAGAAAAACTCCCCCTGGAAGGGGCCCGCGAAATCAACGTGTAGCCTCGATCATGGTCTTGTTGTGAATTCCCATGGGTGGATGGGTGCGCGGGCTGGCGCGTTTCGTGACTCCTGGCACGGAAAGCAGCAACCCTTTTATTACGACATGACGGTACGCCAACATATGTTAAAACAGTTTTTAGGGGCAACGCCGGTCCAACCTTCCTCTACCAAGAGCCACGTCAGCATCAAGTTACGATTGTCTAGAAGCCCAGCGGTTCATAATCTTGGTTGTAAAAGATTGTTCCCGAAGCGGTTACCAAGAGCGTTGTGCCAGTGCGGTTCCGCTCCCAGTGTGAACAGGTATTTACGTAACTCTCGTTGACACTCTTGTAGTTCAAGTGTATCTTCCTGGACAAAGACTCCCTCCAGCATCCCCGAAGCCACGAAAAACGCCGCGGCGATTTGTTTACACGTGCGCCGCCTTGAGAGCCGTGCGGGCCGTCTCCTTTTAGCAACAATCGTAGTTGTGTTAACTTCGTAGCTGTCAAGTTCGTAGCAGTCGACCAAAGCGGCTTTACCGTAATTGGAAGAGGTCGGCATCCGGCCCGTTTAAATATGCATTACATCGCACGGACACAACCCCAAACCACCCCAAACATGCGTTGCCGGAAAGAAGACCCGATACTGAGACGAACGGTGGCCAACTTTGCTGTTATTTTCTTCACCAAAGCGCCTCGCTACTACGTTCAGGCCTAAATGATATATATGAGTGACCGTACTTCCCGTTGTGGTGCTGCTCTTGCTGACCTGATGTAGTCACGACAATCCTTCGAAGCTTCACAGACCTCCACAAAGTGGATTTTGGTTCCCGTTTAATTCAGTTTAAAACATGTTTTCTTGCGTCTTCATAAGAAATATTGTATTGGTGAAGGGCTACTTCAACCCGATTTACGTTGAAGCAGCGAGATGAGCTTCAACAATCGGTTTCCGTAAACCTTAAGGAGCTTCATAAAATTGTTTGTATGCTAAAGTTTGAACAGATATGGCAAAGATTTATGTTGAAATAGCGCCTGTAAAATATTGATTACAGAAGGAACACCAGCTCAACAGTACAAAAGAGCAGAGGGCCCTCAACGGCCGTGGCCGTAATCAACCTTCAAGCAGATGGCGAGTAGGCCTCAAAATATTAGTTCTTGAAGAATTAGCTTGAAGAATTAGGGATTAGTTTGACGCCTTCAATTATAGTCCGCCTAACCAGACAAATGTCTGTCAAATGTTCACTGTCGAATATAAAACTGCATAGGCTTCTATGCGAGCTGTTGCGCTGCTCTTACTTACGATGTGCATTTTGTACTGTTTTGGCAAGAAAGGTTTATGAGTTGCAAATAATAAATGTCCTAATAGATATAACAGACACTATTTTAATTTAAAGCACTTTAGACACCTTTTAGAATGATTAAGTTTGACAAGTATATAATTCGAAAGCTTAATGACATGCAATAATAGTTTTAGAGGTCCCCGTATTGCGGTCTTCAATAATTTCGACGGTATAAAAAAATCAGATGGCACAAGACAAATGATAAAATCAAATCAAATGGTACGTACCATTAGTCGTTTCAGTGTCTTTTTCCTCCTTTTCAGTATCTATAAAATGAGTGATTGTGAAGCTTGTAAAAACGAAACTATGATTGCAACGTTCACCTACATCATTTGTCGAAAAATCAATTGTGACAATCGAGCACTAAAAGGACATCTTGTAAACCCTGAGATGGGGAACGATAAAAAAAAAACAAAAAAACGGACGAACACAACATCTCAGTGTTTACAAGATGTCGATTGTTTACCAGCTCGCCTGCACTCTTTCACTGCTTACAATACTAAAAAGATTTGTTTTGTTTATCACTGACGAAGTCAGTGCTCTTTACGTCGAACTGAAGTTTTGGGTTTCATTAAATGAGACAAAAAGTGTAAGATTACACTTTTTTTAAAAGTGTAGCACACAGAAAAATTTACTATATTTCCCGTGGTTTTTCATTCCTATAATATGGGATGTTTTATTTGCATTGGCATATACACAGTAAGAAAGATAAATTCCATTTCTTGTTCACAAGAAGAGTACTTCGCCTATTGTAAACAGTTTAATCTACTTATTCATAACACATAGAAAGAATCAGATAACGGTTAAGCTCTGTCTGTTTTGGGGGCAAGGTTAGGATATTAAAAATATTGCTGTTCAATTAGTTTTTATAAGTACCATTTTATGTACGCCATGCAACGCCTCTCGATTCTCCGAGACGGATCAAATTAACTTAAAATACTCGCGTTTGAAAGTTTTATTCAACCAGTTGTGGAGTACGCCAATGCTGCCTGAGAACCTTACACGCAACAAAATATCCAAAAACGCGATAGCGTCATCGGGCCCCGTTCGCATCGCCTTCTCATTCGCTTCTCATGCTCTTCCTGCCAGCAGCAGGCCTAGTCAATAGCGTGTCTGGCTCGCAACTGTAGAGTCGTAGGTTCCAATCCAGCCTAATATTCCTCAAACGTTTTTTTTAAAGACCCCTAAAAAGAAAAAAAGCTTTTTTTAAACAGTTTGGTTGGGACGCGTCTGTCAAAAATCAATTTAAAGCGGAATTTTTTTAAAGCTTTTAAGACGGCGGGAGATTTATTTCAAATTCTGCGCTCAAAGTCCATGATGTCGTGGAATGGTCATTCGCTCAACGAGAGGGTCATTCGCCCTTTCCACCTCAACGTGAAGGTGAAGCCGATCCACTTCTCCACGCGCCCGAAATGCCGAGAGAAAACAAGTGGAAAGGAAGTGACTAGCGACTAAATGGTGTCTCGCGCCGTTAATATTTCTATAAAACGATGCTTTCGCGTTAAATTGATTTGTTGTTGCGCGTGTCCCAACGACATTGTTAAAGAAATTTTTTATTTTTATTTTTAGGGGCTCTTTAAGGCAAATGAATTACTCGTTGGTTTGTTCTTGTTGTCTCGCGCGAGGTCATGTGGCTGTGGCGTCATGGCCCTATTGTCCAATGAGGATTTTCGCGTCACGCGACCGAGGCCGGCTTTTCTGCAACATGAGCTCCTTAACGCTCTCGCTTTAAAAAAAAAAAAAAAAACTATTAGGAGTACAAATTACAAGGTACTTTGTTTCATCTGCAAGTATACATTACATCAATTGCTTCAATGCATCAATCTAGTCGGTTTTAATACAATGGAATGGAACATTGAAATAAATTGCCTTAAGATGTTAGTTTTATTTATAAATGATACCCAAATGTGGAAGATAGAAAGATATATATCATTCTCGATCCTCCGTACTATATAAAAAAAAAAAGCTGGCGACATATTGATTATAACAGGTTCTGCGGGTAGAAGAAAAAGTTAAAAAAGAGGCGAGCTGGCTAACTGGTGAGCCGACTAGAATGATGTGTAACTCTTACAGCTTTTTTTATATTTTAGTTTTTGTATTGTAAGATCTGCAGACGATTGAAATAGCTTGTTCGATAGTGCTGTTAATAGTCTAAGCACCTTTTATTTGAAAAGAAATCAAACTTTCCTCTAATTTCTTGTTTTGATAACTTACTGTGTATTATGATCATGTGTTGTTTGCAATTTGTACTCAGTTTTGCCCAGTCGGAGGTTAACAGCACGAAATAAAATAGATTTCGCCAAAGAAGCGATAATACGTACACTCTAAGGAATCCTGGGCGTCTGCTCTCCCGCAAGGCATTTGGGAAAGCCAATCGCTGCAATCTACAACGGTGCTCTGCGAATAATGGGGCTCATATGTTTGTACACCAAAAACCAACCTGCTCTGTATCACTGAGCACGGTGAAACGTGTGCAAGGGTAGCCTTGCTCCATGCCCATCCCGGAGGAGCAACACGAAGCAGGGGGTTTCGTGAACAAGAAACTACAGTTATTAGTCGAATAGAAATGGTTTGTTAATACCAAGATATAACGCAGCCACGGCGTGCACCTTCACGTATCTCTGCTCTTGGTCCGTCCTCCCCGTTACGTGGGCTTCTCCCCTTTTTATATCCCGTCTGGCGCCCATTCCTCATGCGCTGTTGCCAACGAAGTAGAGCGCCTTAGAGCGATAAACTGGCAGCTGAAAGCGACCCCTAATGGACCTTTTCCACATACCGACGGCACCAGGCGGTGGCTGCACGAACTAATATCGAGGAAGTGACCTACCTGCGCTACCAATCGATAATGAGAGCTACGCTACCAGTTTCTTCGCTCTCTGAGCAGCGGCGGCTGCCCAACGCGACTTTAAAGAGGAGCATCCGTGGCGTCCACCCAAACGTCGTGTTTTCCTTTCCGTCGACGTTCTTTTTTTGTGTAACACAAATATATATATATGCTGCAATTACGTGTTCTACTCGCTGATATACAACCTCCTTCCGAATTTCCTCGATTTTTCGTTCAGACTTCCACCGCTTGGCATTGGGTGCTCGCGCGTGCGCAGAACGCTTCTCGGAAAAAGTCCATTGGCCGCCGCCATGTTGCAGACTTTTGACCACTTCACACGTGACCTTAATAGTTTTACGTCAAGATTTTAGTGAAGTACCATGCACAAATAATTGCCTAATGATCTTTCATAACTGTACCGACGAGATAAGTAATGTTTCGTTCGTTTTAAGTCCAAAATGTGCTTTACGTCAAAAACTCGGTCAGCTTCGCAATGCCCTCGCTAGATGCCGTCAGCCGCGGTGCTGTATTTTGGGTTTTTATTGGAGCTGGACACTGATCTCTGGGGCTAACGGTATAGAAAAAATAGTTTATAATGTTTTTTTTTACAGGGATCGCAATACAAATCTCGGCTCAGTTTTGCATAGAAGCGTCAAGATTTGGCAGGGTCATGTGTCTAGTGGTCAAAATTGTACAACACAGCGGCAGCCAAGGGGGGGTCACTTCTGCCTGGTGGACGGGATACCAGTATATCGCTCTAACTCCCTCACTTGCATTTTTGCATTAATTGCATTATCATTGTAACCTTAACATGCAGGCCGTTCACCCTTGTTGGTGTTAAACTGGTGGCAGCTGATAAAACCCGCTTTCTTTACTGACGTCTAACCCCTGGTTTACTGAGTTGGTAAAGCGCTCCACTGAAAATGGAGAAATCCCTGGTTCGACACCCGGACCACGCGGATTTTTTCAGTCGCGTACCAATCACCTAGCTATGTTTGGAGATTTGTGTTTGTCCTTTGTCCCCCTTGTTCCCATTCTCCAGGAATTATTATCGTCCCTCTACCTGGTTGGCTGCTGCGCGCTTCGTACTTCGTGTCGACTTTGGGCGGGCAGTAGCGGCCCCTGGGCATGGTGGTGGATCCTTGTCCCTACAAACGTCGTATACGCAGTGACACGAAGCAGACCATTTTTTTAGGTTTAAACATATTTACCAGCCCCGTCCTTCGCAAACTGCTCTTTGTAGACTGCCGCGATTGGCTCTCCCAAGTGGTTTGCGCCAGAGCAGACGCACCAGCTTTCTTAGAGTGTTCTTTCTGTCGTGGTATGTATACAGAAACGTCTGATTTAGGTTTCCTCGAAACATTCAGTGCTCTGTTTAACATGCATGCGTACTACATTCCTGGCAGCTAGATGCCTATAACGTGTAAGAAGGAAAGTCGAGGTAGTTTTAACACTTCAGTTTAAATGCAAATATTTATTCAGATATGCTCACCGGAAGAATCTCTTTTCCCAGAAGAATCTCCTACTGAGAAAAATCGAAACAAAGTATTATTCAGTATGACACAATGCAATATCCAAACACTGTTTCATACGCATACAAGTCGGATGTAACGAGCATAAAACGCAAAAGGCAAAGTATGTCTGTACCATCGTAATAAACAAATTTGGCTACGAAAATATTTTCTTGACCAAATTTTTTATTGATGTCATAAATGCGTCTAAATAGGAAAAGTAACGATGCCCTTATCGCGCACTAGTAGAACACAAATAACCAGTTGAAAGGTTAAGATTGATCCACAATTTACCTTTGTTTGATTTTAATAGTACCCAACTGTCGTCGACGTTTAGGAATGACAAAACATTTTTTGGCTATGACAGTAGAGAGGTGTTGCCAGATTCTAAACATTCTGTTTTAAAATGACGGAACACGAAAGCTGCAGTGACGTGACGTTCACTTTGAGGCTCGTAAAACCGGAGTCACACTGCTCAGTCATCATACAAAAAGCAGTCTGCAGACACGAGCCACCGCAATATCCATGGTTCGAATGCCGCGCGCCAAGTTTCTTCCTCGAACTCACTGCCATGCGGCATTCGAAGCCCGGATCTCGTTGTGACTCGCGTTCGAATCTGTAGTTTTGTTCATCAGTGGGGAACATAAAAGCACCGATGCAGATGTTTCTGCGTTTCTGCGTAAGAAAGAGCGAACTCAGGCTAAAAGATAAACAAGCTATAACAAGTATCTGAGATTAACCTTGTTTTAAAATATATTTAATGGCCGACATGACATTCATGAAGAGCAGTGCATAACAGATCTAACTCATGTGTCGCCCCGTACCGACGACCATCTCAAAGTTCGCGAGTACAGAAGCAGAATAAATATATTTAAATTCACATTTTTTCCGATAACTGTAAACGAATGGAATAGCCTACCAGACGAAATTGTCTCATCGCCAGCTCCGTCTTTTTTCTTGGTTCTGCAAAGCTTCGTGTTTGGCTAAGTGTCGATTTGTGAATTTAATTGTTGGTATGCTTTCCAATTTTTTTCCTGTTATGTAATTCTTTTAATGCTATGTCACTTTCAAACCTGTTGTCTTTGAAAGTTTTTCCGAATCACACGCATACTTTCGATATATGCTTTATATTTTATATGTATTTTATTGTCCCCCCCCCCCCCCCAAATGCCCTGGTAAGGGTGGCGTAAGTAACTGAATAAATGAATAAATAACACAAAGGCTAAACGTGCAAGATCGCGTCCCAATCCCTGCGGTCGATTGGTTCAGTCGGTGACATTACATTTTTTGCGTTATCTGATTGGCTCCATTAACAAGCTTTAGAGAAACGCACCCAAAACCCTTTGCGTACGCAAAGAAATAGCGTCGTCGCCTTACGCCAGTAAAAAAAAAAAAAAAAGCGGTTCGGGCTCGGCGCTTGAGCAGTGCCGACAAAGCTATTTTACTCCGTACGCTATACGGCGTGTAAGTTCGTCTGTTCCTTGCTTTATACGGCGTGTAAGTTCGTCTGTTCCTTGCTCACATCGTGCGTTTGTTTACCCGCCAAATGTGCCAGCGTGCGTATGTTTATTCCTGACCTCAACCGATGTCGACACAAATATGGCTGCCTCGTCATCGCGCATTCCCTGCGTGTTCGCTGTGTTGCCCTCTGATTGGCGTACCCCCCCCCCCCCCCCCCCCCTCCTTGCGTTCTTACGTGCCAAGGGCGCGTTTTGGCACACTTGCCGTATTTTTAAGCTCGGTTTTGTAGAATCAGATGCCGTCTGACTCAATGGAAGCATGGTGCCGTAACTGGTGCCACATGCGTGCTAGCACGAGTATCGTTCGCGTGATCATAGCTTTCGCAAGCTTAAAATTGCACGGACTTCGCTGCACCAGCAGAAAAGACATGGCGGCGGCCGTGGCCTTGCTTGAAATCGTCTATAGAATTAAGACAATTCTGTGGTATGGTTAGGTTTGACGGGGCACGGAAATGAAGAATATTCTCTTCTGTTTTCCTTTCACTATTGAGGTTTCCCAAATTAAACTCGACTTTATCGCGCGAATTCAAGATGAAAAAAGTCTGCAAAATAAACACACGGTATTACATATCTTTCCATATTGGTCAAAACCAATTGAATAACACGTAATACGCAATAACGCTCGTATCTTTGATGTTTTATAAAAATACACAAAACAATTCAGCCAACTAATTACTGTTTCCGACTGCAAAACTGGTAGTTTTGCTTTTTAGACAGATAGGACGCAAACTAAAACGCGAGAAAGAGATAATGTCTATGGCGTTAAGTGAAGCACACCTTCTCTGTTCAGTTGCTCCTGACCGTACCATCGCTAGAGCGACGCAATAACCAAAGGTATGTGGTACAAAACGGGCAAAGAATGACACGTTTTGCTATGGGGAACCTTCAACTATCAGAAACTGTATCAGAAACTTTAAGAAACTGTATAAGAAACAGAAAAGTATCGTTCGACGAAAGCTCCGTCGTTCGTAATTTTTATCTTTAGATCTCCTGGATAAACACGATGTAGCATTTATGTAACTTGGATGAAACACGACGTAACCTGGACGATGTAATCTTTATGAACCTCAAGTTAAAACAGGTATACCTTTACTTAATAAATGTCATACCGGTCTGACGTGAGAGTGGTGCTTATTTCGCTGATGCTCTTAAATAGTATTTTAGAAATACATTAAAAATAGCGTTATCGTATATTAGCCAACTAACACCCCAATCCTGACATATATTGTAAGATATATAATCGCTAGTGTATCATCTCAAAACTTTGAATATAAAAACACCATTTAGACCACTTACGATTTTCAACCAATTTTAGAAAACAGAGTGGAACGCGATACTCGTTATCCGGCCCCGTTTGCATCGCCTTCTCCTTCGCTTCTCATGCTTGGGAGCCAGTGAGCGGGACACACGGCGGACGTGGCTTAGTAAGTAGCGTCTCTGGCTCGAAACTGAAGGTTATTGGAATCGAATACTGCCTAAAATTCTTCAAAATTTTCTTTAAGGCAAATTAACTACTTTAAAAAGTGAAATCATCGAAGACATGTGGGCACTTATATTTTGCATTGCATGTCATGTTCTTTATTCACTTTGATTCCACGCGTGACGTCACGTTTCACGTGACGTTGTGGACTGTTTATAATCCCCGCGCGAGGTCATGTGGCGCGACGTCATGAGTTCATCGATGAATCGGGATTTACGCGCCACGCCACCGACGCCGTCTTTTCTTTCACGCCGCCGATTTTCTGCGACACCAGCACCCTAACGCTATCGCGTATGAACCAAAATACAGTAGGTTATGAATATAGAGTATAGATGCACTACTTTGCGCAGTTTCTGCAGGTTTTTCTGGCACTTTTTAAAAAGCTCAAGCAGAAGCATTAAGAGTAGTGCCAAACAATCCCAACTACAGGGTCCGATCGAGAAAAGTAAACCCTACTTTTCAGCCCGTGTAAAAAAAACTACGCATCGCAGAACGCTCAAACTCCGCCAGAATGTTACCCTAGCGGTCCAAGCAGGATGCTAAAGTTTAAGAACATGAGCTTACCTGGATCAAGAGATAAAAGAAAGAAACGAGAAATCTATACGGGGAGGCTTGGACCATGGAGAGACACAGACGGAGGCCGTCTGCTTTGAGTTGCATTGCATAGGTGGCGCCACCACCTATGCTGGTTCGCGGGTTATCACGGGCATCTGCCGGACTTGGCGGCAAATTCGGAATTGTTTTCTATCATTTCTGAAGTTTCACTTACGCACTGCAACGGAAATAAAGATTACTCGCTCTAATTTGTGATACTTCGGTGCATTTGCTCAGACATAACATTTCTTCATGCTAATTCGTCTGCTTTGTTCTTCGCAAACCCGAGCACCGGTTCTCCCGTTGATTACTTTTAATCTCTACCGTGTTTCGCTGCACTTTCCTGCCTGATGAGGCAATTAACCCAAAAGCAACGCGCGAACGTCGTGGTTTGGAATTTAAAGCGCAGAAGCTTTAAGAATGCTCGCCGCCGATACCGTCGAGTGCACCGTTCCAGGCCGCCACCAACCCGCATAGGTGGTGGCGCCACCTATGCGATGCAACGCAAAGCAGATGGCCTCCCTCTGCGTCTCTCCGTGGTCGGAGCCTCCCCGTAGAGATTTCTCGTTTTTTTCTTTATCTTTCGATCCAGGTAAGCTCATGTTCTGAAACTTTGGCATCTTGCTTGGACCGCTAGGGTTACATTCTGGCGGAGTTTGAGCGTTCTGCGATGCGTAGTTTTTTTATGCGGGCCGAAAAGTAGGGTTTACTTTTCTCGATCGGACCCTGTAGTATAGCTTGAGCTACTTGGGCGACGTCTTGGTATAAGCGACCTTAAAAAATTGATTGATTTAAAGCTCTTCACTGTTAACAATCCAGTTTAATGGTATTCAGAATTATTTCACGTGTTACACTATTTAAAAGACATTAAGAAAATCACGATTTCTTTTTTATGGCCTATGTAGCATAATGATGATAAATACTATTATCTTGTCGCAAAAATCGCATCATATGAAGTGCAGACAGGCATCTATTAATTGTTATTCTTCTCACGAATCAAAACAAATATATATATATATATATATATATATATATATATATATATATATATATATATATATATATGTGACGCAGAAGGCAAACTGTTCGTTGTCTGTCAGAGCTTCAGATATTAAAACAAATGAGCTTTGGCCGAAAGGGGTTGTTATACGTATTCCTCTATTCTCTTGCTACGAGATGAGTGAATCAAAAAGGCAAGAGTAATTAATGTCGTTTCGCAGTGAATGTAGTGTTCTTTGAGTTTATCTGAAAGCAATGGATGGGCAGTTTACCAGACCAGTACTGCAGATTCCAAAGTCACTTCTAAATTTTACACAGATAAGTTCAGTAGAAGCAGACTTAAAATAAATTTTGATATATGCTCACTTTCCCCATTAGAAGTGTCACGTACTGAAGCTAGTAGAGAAATATAAACATTTAAATATACGGGTATATAGTTTAATAAAACATCTATATTTATTAGTTTTATAAACATGAATATCGTATGAACCTAAAATGACTGAAATAAGCAGGAACGAGTAAGCATGCCGTGTAGCGATATGAAAACACGTTACAGAAAAGGTTTTTATTGTGTGTGTTTTTTATCGCTGATTTAATGAGAACGGTTACAGGATAAAACTAGCTGAACCAGTGCGTCCTTGATCAAATAATGCGCGAGTAACGATCAGCGACAAAGCGCCCCTTAGATCTTGGTATATACAGTGTCAATGGTTTCGACCCGATAGAAACGTCGCCAAGTATTATAGCTATTTTCGTACGTGAAACAAAACTTCAAAACTCTCTTGTCCGTTCACATAGTATGCATGTTAAACAAGAATCCTGTATTAATGTGAAATTAAATTCGCAGGGAAAGAAAACGTTAGTGTTCGATGCATCTCTGTGTGAATTAACCTGTAATTGTAATTTTTGAAACAACTAGTTTGAGAGCCTTTTTCACAGATGCAGCGACGTAGAAACATCTCTAAAATAAAGTCGGGCTGTCAACTGAAGAATAAAAATGATTGAGATATCCCTTTAAACGCAATCCCGTGCGTTTGTTTCATGTCAATGCCAACCAAAATGGTGCTTGTTTGACAGCGTCACAAACGCGTACACTCTGTTTTTGATGTTCCCCAATCAGGGGTACTATTGAGAACATGCTTCTGAGGGTTTTTGTCAAATCCTACATCTGACAACGATGGCTATAAAACTACGATTCTAAATGCAGTAGAGTTTGAAGGTTTGTCTATAAAAAGGTAATGCTTATAAGTGTGTCATTTGGGCTGACCCTGTTGCGTACCACTAGGGCGCCAGTAAGCGCCAACGACTACTCAGCGTGTATGTATCGTCTTAACGTGAATAGTCTTAATGTGACTACTCAACGTCTATGTGTCGTTATTTTAACGTGAAATGTTTTTCGGCTAGGTCTTCGAAATCTCGTGAGACCCAGATGAAAATGAAGCCTGGATAAAAGCATGACTGCAAGGCTCGACACTGATTGGTTGACGGGTGGGAGAGGAGGTGTGAGGTGATCGATGTTGATTGAATAAAGGGGAGGTCATGCGACCAGCGAGGTACGCCAAGAGGGGCTCAACCACCTGTGAGCATTGAGGGAGAGGAACTCGAGAGCATGGAAGGCTCTGAAAGATCCCCAGGTCATCAGCCCGATTAGTGGTAGTATCGCTTCATTCTCGAAACAACTATCGAGTGTGCACGTGGTACGTGGTTAACTATCTGATGAAGATCGCCGTGAACGTAGGCGTCTGGCGTCTGGAAACTCAGACTATCGATAAACTTTTGTGATGCTAGAAAGATTCACGCCTGCAACACGCCTAGCAATTCGCCATACATTAGATTTATTCGTGTCACAGGGTTTATTTTAGGATGAGAAGCCCATTGGAAGTAAGTTTGAATGTATAAAATAACCACGTCGAAACGGTGTCAACACATATTTATTTAAGACACTATATAAAACAATAATATAATAACCTGTCATGCTATGTTCTTACATTCAGGTATTTTATAAACACGTCTGCTAAAAACTTATTACATTCAGTATTTAGGCAAATACACTATGTTTGCAATCGGTTAATATTGAACGGTACTCTGTCAATCGCAGATGTGTATTGTCGGAGGCAGTTTCTTTGTGTTTATGTTTGATTGAAACGCCTGAGATTTAGTGCGTAATCAAGCGTATAAATATGCGGATATCGAATTTCAGCATCTGCATTATATAATAATAATATATAATACATGATATATAGCATATGTTATATATTATTATACATTATAATATTATATATTAAAAGAAATATGTAAACTAGGCTTACCGGTCTCACTGGCACTTGGATCGCCTATTGAGAAAAAATAAGAAAAAAACGTTTTCAGTCAAGCGTAATTATGCACAAAATTGATATATAAAATGGGCTCCCCAGCGATAAATTTATGACTACAAAACAAAAGAAACTAACACAAACAATAAGATATCTATTATTTATGTTGCCGCAACAAGCAAATTGTGTGTATGTTTAAAATTTATACAGCCGGAAGTTAGTCTGCTTTAGGTGTAGCTGGGCAATTTAGCCAGTGCAGTAGAACCGCTAGCCTGGGGTCTTTAACGTGCACTGCGCAGTTGTGATACACGACCCAATGCTCATCCAGATCGAAACCGCAAGGGCGGGGATTGAACCAAATTGAACCCAGGATCCCTGGGTTCTCGCAGCGCGAGCTTTCGCTCCACGTACTCCGAGCTGGTGTGCGCTGGACCACTCGGCCACCGATCCCCCTTTATGTTGCTGCATGATAAAGAAAGCTACTGGAAAGTTTACTTGTGTTTCTTTGTATTGTTGATGTCACGAAGGCACAACTATCAAGGGGACTCTTACAGGCACTGATAAAACAGAAAACACCAGTTTACAAGATAGGGCATAGTCTGTCATTTTTTCTTATAAATACGAAACAGTGATAAGTTATAAAATTATAATGATTTCGAGAACTTTCCACAGCTATCCGCCGAATAGCAGTGCTTTTTTTGAAGCTACAGAGCCAGAAATTATTGGCGTATGTTCCATAATAATGTTACCATAGCCTCACAGTGCCATGTTAATTCGCTTTAACTGCTGTTCTTGATAAGGTTTTCTGCCTTCGTAGGTGAGGGTAATATGTGTACAGATGCAAATACAGTATTCTGTCACTTCCAGATATGCTTAAGCGATATCTGGCTTTAGGAAGCTGCTGTAGTTTTCCTGATTTGCTCGCTAGTTATCTTTATTTAAGCTTATATATTGCTGTTATTGAAATATATATATTTTGGGTGTATAAAAGAAACAAAAAAGTATCTTTGTTTGCATTTGTCGTTACTCAAAAAATAGCAAGTCGCGCCTCTTTTGATGGTGTTGGAGTGTTAAACAGAATTAAGGCGAGATACACTCTTGCTGTACTGAACCGTCCACTTCTTGCTGGCAGTGGAAGGATTTCGAGTATTGGTTTTTAATCCCTCAGGACATAGGTCCCAACATGGAAATTTAAGATTGAAAGGGCTCGTATTTGTTCAGAATTTAGAGATACGGAGGGGTATATGCTTCCTCGGCAAGGCACAAGTTGTCTGTGATGCCATTCTGACTAGGGAATATTTGCACACATTGGGGAAACTTTTTTTGTCATTGTAAGATGACACACAATATTATACGGGTTCAGAGTCAGACCAAGTTGGAAGGAATGAAGTTTTACAGCGATGCTGTATTTGACTCGTTAGTCGGATATTTTCGTCCCCGTGGACAGAACAGTTGTCAACAAAAAACATTCAATAAATACTGAAAAAAAAAAGAAACTGCTTGATAACTGCTTTGTTACCAATGTGGGGAGCGCTACGTGAAGCACGTAGCGCTCCCCACATCGATAACAAAGCAGTTATCAAGCAGTTTCTTTTTTTTCAATATTCATTAAATGGTTTTATTGTGTACCATGTAGTTTTTACACTTGTTTAGTGCTTTTCTTATTCAAACGAATACTGGGGTATGTGCATGCAACACACCATCTCAGTATTCGTTTCAATAAGAAAATCACAAATCAAGCGTCAAAACATGATAGATGATAAGACGCGCGCGCGAACAATGCGAAGCACGTAGCGCTCTCCGCATTGATAACAAAGTAATTATCAATGTCGTTTTAAAATAAAAGTTTTGGTGCAGTGAATTTACTTTTCTTTCGTCAATCATTTGGTATAGATCCCTTTAAAAATTCGCTTGCCGATTACTAGAATTACAACTAGCCCAATCGTCAGCACTACTGATTACTAGAAGGTCGGAACCCCAGCAGAATGACAAAACAACGGACATCGTGGAACGTGCAAGTCATTCCATAAGATAGCGAACGTCGGAGTGCGGCTAACGCTAGAAGCCGACGAGCCAATCAAACAGCGTCAAAAGTGCAACGTCACTGCGCTCAGCACCTTTTTCTTTAGGTGTTTTTTTCTTCTACTCCAACCAACGGATAAAGTGTGCCGCGACATTATGGTTTTAGTCCGCTATTGGGCAGGGATCCTGCAGCTACCAACAGAGGGCAGTATTTCGAAAGGGGCAAACAGTGCAGTGGACAATCGTTGCAGGTGATATCACAGCTTCGCTGGCCAAACACCTTCACAGCGTGGATTGAAGCCCCAACTTCTTGGATGTAGTTTCTCGTGATATAAAGGTATCTGTACTTACATGAAATTACATTTTGGAGGTCTTACGTGCCAACCCGAAGAAAGCGCATCTAAAGCGGCCCAGCGAAGACTTGATGATTACGGTAACTTCGATCCCTGGGGGATCTTTCACGTGCAACCGAAATCTCGGTTATATGGTTCACTCTTCGCAATAAGTCACCATCGAATAGCGGGCACCTCGACCGGGATTCGAACCCTCCCCATGAAGATCCACGGGCCGTTGCTTTGATTCGGAGCCATCGAGGTGGAGTATCTATTTCTATACCTGGTAGGGTTTTTCTAAGGTCCATTCGAAGTAAAATATTACTGTAAATTGTAGAAAGTCACTATTCTATAAAAAAAACTATGCTGTGGAGTAGTACATATAAATTGGGAGCATCTTATCTGTTAAAAAGAAAACCAAAGCTGCATGCAATTGTGATTTACAAAGCTCGACTGATAGCTGAGGTTACGTTTCAGTTTAGTTGCTACTAAGCGGATATTGTGTTTCCACGATTTATATGCTACATCCCATTAGAAGTATATCTAAGAAACCTGGAAATGTATAAAAATATACAAAGAGAACTACACCAGTGAGCCCTTACGAAAATACGCGATTTAGAAATATTTGCTAGCAAGAAAGACGAAATGGCGTATTCTTACCGAAACATAATCCAGCGAGTACGAAGAGAATAAAGAACTTCAGTTTGAACATCTTCGTAGATCTCTCTTCGTACCTCGAATGCCACGCAATGTCTACTGCTAGGAGGCTTCGTTCTTTCTGATATACCGCTAATCCATCAGGCGTGGAACGGGACAATAACCACGATGTTAATTTTTTATTCATGTCGAAAACGCGGGTGGAAACTTCCACACCCTTCTCTTTCGTTACGTGCCGAGGCAGAGTGCACCGCATGTTGGGTTACTTATACATTGGGCGCAGCCTCTATCTTTTCGTTATTATATTTTTGATGAAAGGGAAATCACACGCACATATTGCAAGTAATTATCCCAGCCCCACTGATTGTTGAGAGCTTGCGACTGTTTTATTTTTATTGCCCTTACAATTTTACCACAATTCTTCTTTCGCGCTTCAGCTTCAACCACTAAAATAACAAAAAAAAAAATATTGCGATTGCCAAATAGATTTTCCATATTCTGTACGCCCAAAATGAAATTAAATTCGTCACGCAGATAAAAGACACGAGGCAGGTGTTACAAAAAAATTATTTAAAGAGCGATAATTTGCTTCGAGTTAAAACAAGGAAACGTAATGGTGATGGAATGAAAATGCCCACTGGAAATTCCGCGAATCAGAGAAGGTGCAGCTTGATTGTGCGCAATTTAAAAGCGGTAATACTAACCATAATAATCGGGGAACATCCTGGTTCCTCTGTTATTTGTTACAATAGACCGATCTCACCAGCCAGTTTGATTACGCCACCGCTGCCGCAATGCATCGGGGGAACTTTAGTCCTTCTGCACGTGCAATAACCTTGCTGGAGCCCTGCGCGTGTGGAGGACGAGACGGGACGAGCCCTCGCATGCAGGGCTGTCAGCCTCCCGTGAACTAAAGTTATGGCGGCGTTACGCATGCGCCAAACGCATAGTGAGATCGGTCTATTATCGCAGTGAGAGAAATAGATTGCGCTCAAGCCTCGTGCGGAAACAGATAATCATAACAGTGCGTGGTCTGAACTGCAACAAGACAAAGACAGCAGGCTTAAGGAACAGAGTGTATAGCCAGGAATTTGGAGCCCAGGGGGGAAGGGGGTCTTGGGTATTCGGGATCTACATGACTTGGGGTGTAGGTTTTAGGGTATAAACCGGGCTGCGGTATCCATTTGCTTGATGGCTCGATCTGCCTGAAAAAAACAATCTGTCTGGACGCATTAAATTGGCTGAATGCCCGATTTGGCTCAATTCCAAATTCGGCTAGAATCTCCATTTCGGCGGGATGCTTCAATTTGGCCTAATCATCTCGATTTGGTTGAACGGTGTGAGTATAGTTTATAGATGATAGACTGGAGGTTCTGATTCATGATACGACGCCCACAGGCGCCCAAATATAATGTCAATCGCAACACCGAGTTTTTTTTTATTAATTTAGGACTTTGTACTGACGACTGAATATTTTAATTCACGTCAGTTTAACAAGTTTCAGGAATGTCGAGGCGGGCACACTTTACACTTTCAATCAAGTAAACACCGGGCGATTGCTTACTACGATCGATATCAATGCCAACAAGCAAAGTCATCAATTATTAAAAGATATCGTTCCACAACGCCTTTTAACTTCATATTTGTAACCAATGACGAGATTATTTTAATCCGCGACATTCATCTGTACTTTTGCAGCAGATGAATACCCTGTTTTTGTAGTAGTTTTAATCATTCACAGGATAATTAGTTGAGTAAGTTTTAATTTCATTACCTATTAGCATTTTCAATATATTGTAATTTATTATATCAAATATATACCGGCTGTTCTTTTGAGTTTTAGAGATTTGATTAAAAAATGGCGTGAAAGCTACACTTATGTGGTCTGTGCAGGTGAGTTATACGGACAGGGGGACATTATGTGGGTGGCTAATGTTTGCGATAAGTCGGCTAATAAATTAAATTGCGTTAATATTTTATTTAGTTGTTGAAAATATACACGTCTTTTCAATTAGAAACGTACTGATAGTCATCGAAAACTACTAATTCAACTCCTTTTAGAACGACTTGAAGCTGGTGGGAAATTCGGAGACGCACCAAAATTACCACTCTTGCAGCAGGCGCAAAGCTAGCAGTGGCGGAACGCGATGATAATCGAATAATCCTCGTTCCGCAACCGCTAGCCGTGGACCTGCTGCCCCGAGTGTGTATATATATGCAAACTTACAAGAAAAGAGAACCCTTGTTGAAAACAGCAACAAGGGACGGTTTTTTTGTCGACGTGTCGGCCGTAGTCCGGCCTTCGTCGAAACGTCGAAGAATAAACCGTCCGTTGTTGCTGTTTTCACCAAAGGTTTTCTTTTATTCTCAGTTATATACCCAAACCTTCGGCCCCCGCCACCATGCCCGTTGTATATATATATCCTATATATAAATAAAATTCTTTACGATGGTATAACGGAAAATCAAAATACCTCAAGAGGTGTGATTTAATTTTGCAGCATAGGGAAGTCTAAGAAGCTGTCATTTATTTATTTCTAAAACAAAAAGGAGAAACTGAAAAGCAGTCAGAACAACTTTTTTTTTTTTCAAAACAGAAGAAAAATAAACCGTTTTTGTTTTTAGGCTAGACAAAAATGAACCGCAAACGTGCTGTATTACTGAATCACAGAACAAAATAAAATATAAACGAGCCCGGCAACATTCTGAAGTTGAAAACTTTTTTTTTTTTCATAACGCCATGCCCCTAGAATTTTTTTTTTTTCTGATTCAATTGTCTCGCTACTTTGGATTGACAAAGCGTGATACATCCGCGTGCGCACCCGTACTTGGAAAAAGACAGTGCCCACCGCGCCTTAAGCCATCCACGTGGTGCTCGCTGGAAGATTTTAACGTATAAACTAACAACGCATGTTTTGCACAAATACAAAGTACCAATGATAGCTGGTGAGAATGCACCATGAACTAATTCATGGGAGAAGGATCATAAAAAAACGAGCAACACGACACAATATTGCTTATTTTCTGTGGTGTTGTACGTCCTTTTATTTTCCTTGTCTCTGCATTTTGACCAAGAACGGATACTTGCATAACATGCGACATTTTATATTTGATTTCGTGGTTCCAGGCTGTTTATAAGCCAGGTTGAAACTACTACGCAGCAAAGCTAGAGTGAAATGAGACATTTTACTGGTGTGTTCAGGGATTCCCTAACAGCGAAGCGATTAATGAAATGCAATGTAAGAAGACATTCTGAGGTCAGAGTACCTATTACTGAAACTTGCACAAAAAAAAAAAAGTTCGCATATAATTTCGCTCTTTCTCTTCCTTCACGTTACTTGACATTTGCTGGCCTCTGGTCCAACTTCTTCAGTCTTTGCTCCTTGCCTGGTGGAAGCGGATATTAATGGTTTGAGTGCAAGTCAAGGCATATCGGCCTTCTTTCATAGCCCCTCCAAGTGGGTACAGGTTTCAAAACCGTAGCTTTCGAGAGCCAACCAGCCTCAAGAGCCACGTAAGCACGAAATCTGTAGGTCGGTCGGTTCATAACCGTTAAAAGATTTTGAAAAAAAAAACAAAAAAAAAAAAACACACACACCAAAAGGCAATTTGTGCCAGGGATTGAATTCCGGTTAATGGCGTGGAAGCCGAGTGCGTTGCTGACTGCGCTAGAGACACAGCACGCAAAATCGTAAAGAGCAGAAGGGAGTAGTGTAGAAAGAGCGCGCGGAATGAATAAGAGTGAAAAGGGCAGGAAGGCACGCTTCCTCTTGTTCCACAGAACGCGAGCAGTGGGCAGATTTTGAGGGTGGGGCTCTATGTAAAAGACTGTAAAATAACTGTCCCCTGCGTCCGCTCCCGCCGTCGGGCACGGCAGTCTAAAAGCCAATTTAACAAAAATGAATTGAATCATACGATCAAGTGTGAATTTTCAAGAAAAAACCAATTAGGAGCGAACTATTGGAAAAATAAAGCTGGGCGCCGGCCAAGCGAATGACCCAGGAAGGACCCGCAGGGAAGAGGAGCCCGAGACCCCGGCCCCCGTCCGGCCCCATCACCGGGGCGAAGAGGGCATGAGTGTGTAGCAAAGTGGGTTCGACGAGACCGCAAGGCAACCATAACTGAACCAGGCGGTCCCGCCACAGTGATCTTTTATGTTCCCACGGTAAATATTCGAAGAGCTGGCTGTGCCAATCCCCCTCGTGGGGGCACCACCATAATGTCAGCATTATCATCCCAAGAGGGCCCCCCCTTGGAAAGGGCCCTCGTCCTGATAGCTAGGGGGCACCACCATTCCTGAGAGGAGCCCTATAGCTAGGGCTCCTTCCCCCAGGTGGAGGGTTGAGGGTATTGCCAGAGCCTCCGTTGCAGCTATAGAGCAGGCAAGGCGCCACCGAGCAGCGGGTTGTGGGAGTGCAGTTACCGAGTTCGCGAGACGCAGAGGCGGAATATAACGATGACGACGAAGTGAATTCATCGTCGAAGTGAGCCGGCCTTGTCTAACTGGATCTCTCACAGTGTATAAAATGGAATTAGTTCAATACAGTTGTTTTGTTTTCGTGAATGCCTTTCCGATGATTACAACCGCACGCAACTTATGCCCCAGCCTTCTCTTGGTAACCCAGAAAATTCAGCGCAAAGGATTTGTATGCCGGTGATGCTGAAGGGAAGCACGCGCAGCGTCATAAAAAGACAGAGATGTGACGTATACCCCTGTCAGACGGGCACGTTAAATGACATTTAAGGAAAATGACATTACACCTCGGCCAATCCGCGTGTTTAATACGAAACGCTGCGCGCGCTCGCGCCACGTGCAGAATCAGGATCATGAGCTGGTTCGACCTGCGGTGAATAACATTCGATTAAAATGACATTTACTTTCCTGCCTGACAGGGGTATTAATTTGTTTCCATACAAAGCCCTGCACTATGCACCACCTGAACTAAGAGCACTACCCACCATAAAAAAGATACCGCATTTAAACGTGTTGGGGAAGTGACCAAAGATGCAAACACATTTTTTTACTTGTTTTTATATTTTTTATATTTATAAACTGCTTGACCCTTAAATCAACAATACGGCTGAAAATAACGTTGCTATAACAATGAATT